AGATGTGAACCGTAGTTTTACAAATAAACTTAACCGCGTATGCATCGGTTGTCTCTTACAAGTGGAGAATAGCCATTTAGTGCCTAGAAGTATTTGCAAATTCTGACCTACCATAACTTGAAAAAGAAATCCTCAATTATATGAAAATATAATAGAGCCAGTGTGAAAAGATTTGAGAATCTATATACCTTTTACAAAATAAATGTATTCTTTTATGATAAATATTTTGACTGCACCTTCTAAAACATGTAACTGTAATTCTGAACATTAACATTTTTTAATCTAGTTTAACAGGCACAAGAATTAAACAGCAACAATCCTCTAAAATTATAATTCACAGAAGAGGTCAATACAGAATTTTGCTGGCACCAAAGCAATCTGCAGTACAGTTGAAAGACACGTCAAAGACTCTACACAAGCAACTAACCTGTTAACAGAAGCGCCCTCAGGTCTGTTCTTTCAGTTGCTCAATCATGTCTCATTACCAAAGCACTTTGGCTTATTACAAAAACAGTAACAAAACAAACTACCCAACTGATTTTCTGTACTTATTTTACTCCAATTCTTTACCTCCTCCCTCCATTCCACTTCTCTTCAACAAGCAGTAAAAACATCACTGCAGTGATTGCAGTTTGGTACACTTAACTGCCAGATCTACTTCTAGATCACACAGAGGTCACACACTGTCAGTAGATGTATAAATTCATAAACCAGGATAGAAATTAACTGAATAAGTCATGCAAAAAGAGAGGTCACATACAAAACATTTTTGTTTCTTTCACAGGGATTTTATTACAGTCCCCGATGACTAGTTTTGTTGATACATTTGGTATATTAAGATACATGTAAACAAAATGTAAAGGAGCAAGGGAGGAAATTAGATGACAAAAAGCCAAAATGTGAAATCAAAGCACTTTGTCATTTTTTTTTATTTCAGGGCTTTTTGTAAACTCCATTTATATCCCAGGAATAGTGGAAGTGATGCCCTTATCTCTTTGATTTCCTCCTCCAGCCTTATACGGAGTAAAGTTCCACAGTCATCCTACAAGCACCTCACCTAAGTGAAAACTAGAATGTAAACTGTTGTTGTATTCAAACATAAAAGGCATCACAGCCAAGTCTGATTCCATGTTAAATTGATGCTGAAAAGTGAATGTATATACGCATCAATTATGAGGGGAAAGTTCCGACATGGGGCTTGAATCAACAAGCAGAATTCTAACTCAGAGGCGATAGTACTATTTGAAAAGAAATGGGAACTTTTCTTGCTTTCATGGCCAGCAATCTTCCAGATAAATGGAAATATTCCACTGTGAGTTCAGCTGGGTCAAGTGATGGAACTCTTTGAAAAGAGTTTCCTCCAGTATCCTGGCCAACAATCTTACAACGATGCTAGTACACTGAATAGTTTCCTGGAGTCTTCCTGCCTTCATAAATTTCTCCAAATCTGATGGCACACACAAACATTCACCCCAGCAAATAATACTTGTTTATCTAGTATTCTTTCATATATTAATGCTTTACCAAAATTAAAGTATAATGTAAAGATCTGGAGATAAATATGAAATCCCAGTGAATTGTGCAGACCAAATAGCCTAGTGTGCCCTTGGAACCAAAATTAAGCTATACAATTACAAATCAGCTATCATGGTGCACCTCATGGTTTCACGGAGGATAACAGATCTACACATATTTTAGTTGTCATTTCAGCTGACAATGTTCACCAAGTTTTCAATATTTACTTGGAAGTGGTAGATCATTTTACACATTAAGGATCAAGGATACAAAGGGACTGCCAATGAAAACTTGTTTGATCAAAAATATTTCACATGAATGTTTTTTTGTAAGACGCCCTCAAATGCATCAATTCCTCATGACTAAGAATGCCACAAGGACGTCTATATATTATCTATCAGATAGGAACCATGCATTCAATCTTACCAAAACAAAAAAGTATTGATTTAGTATTCAAATTAAAATACAAATGTCCCAGGGTTATGCAAGCCACACTATGCCATCCTGGCATGATCAGACTACAAACCCATTATCTTTCCACAATAGTGTCTGTCTATTCTGTCAGCCAAGTGCTATAACTCCTATTTTTAAACTTACAACATTTGCCATGCTATACATGTGAGTGCAATCATTCAAAAATGCGTTTTGTCTTCAGTGAGAAGTTTTTAAAATTCCTATCATATTATTCAAAAAGAGAAAGGTCTTTACACTTGTTATAATGGCCAACAATCCTGCAGATTAATTGGCTATTGTTCCCATTTCTGTTTGGAAGACCTTTCTGCAGTCAACAACCACTATGTTTGCCCATAAAATATCAATATCACCATACTGGACAGTAATTACAGGTGATGCACTTTTGAAAGTTTAAACATAATGTGCTATATAACAATGCAAGTTCTTTCTTTACCTATAAATAATAATAATCCTTTCACATGATATAGCATTGTTAATGTTAGGAGGACATGTCAAAATACTGCACAGTATTTTCTGTTATGTAGTGACTGTGCATTTTGTAGATGAACACTATATACAATTTGTACACAACAATTTCCTACAATTATTTTTTTTCATCTGGGAGATTGTTGATAGCAAGAGAAACTCCATTCTCTTTTCGAAGTGCCATGGGAGTATTTAACATCTGCCTGAACAGTCAGATAGGACCTCATCCGAATGACAGCAACTCGAACAATGCAGTGCTCCCGGCAATATATTGGAGTATCTGCAAAAACTCTGCATTCAATCCCGATATGGGGTTTGAACCTACAACCTTCAGGCGAGAGTGCTTCTATCTGAAGTAGGACTAAAACAAAACTTGACAACTCAGAGATGAGTGTACTATCAATTGATCCATGCAGACGCAAGTAATTTAAAGAGACTGAAATTTTGGAAGCAGGAAGTTTGGAGCAGTCATTTTCAACTGTCCAATCAAGTTAATAATGAACAATGATAGGATTTAAGTTAATTGTCTTGATAAATTGTTTCTCTCCCCCTCTCACAGTTGATGTTTCAACAGCCAGATTAGAAGCAACCATTCATTTACCGTAAAAAGGTTTTGAAGCTTACAGCTAAAGAAAAGGTCATGCATCGCTCCAGTCTGATTCCAGTCTAGGTACCTGTCACTTCAACAATTGCTCCCTTATCAGGAGACACACAAATCAGATAATCAATCTTGTGTCTTTCAATCTCTGATCTTTCATGTATTAACCTGTTTTTGAAAAAAGATCAACCATTTTAAATTCAGTGCAGTGGATCATCAATTATTTGGCACACTAGATGGGTCTCTCCGATTGATAATCGGAGCTGAAAGATCGCCAAGGCTCCACTGAAAAGTTGCTTCAATTATTCACCATAATTATGAAGGATATTAGACTGCACATAATTCTAAAGTTCAAAATGCTATCATGCTGAAACCAGTTCTCAGCACAATCCAGTTCCTCTTTATCCCGCACCTCTGCAACATCGCCCGACTCTGCCACTGTCTCACACCGCAGGCCGCCAAAACCCTCACATATGCTTGTTACATTGAGGCTCGACTATGCAAACTCATTGCTTGTCAGCCACCCCAACTCCTCCCTCCATAAGCTGCAGATCATCCAGAACTCGGCAGCCCATGTCCTCTCCCGCACCAGACTCTGCGACCCTACCACTCCCATCTTCACCCGACTCCACTGGCTTCCCATCACACGGAAGATACAGTTCAAGAGCCTGGTCCTCACCTTAACAGCCCTCCAAGGCCTTGCTCCCCCCTACCTCTGCGACCTCCTAACCCCCTCTTCTCAGCGGACTCCGGCCTGCGTCAACTTGCTCGTACCACTATTGGCGGGCGGGCCTTCTGCCACTCTGCCCCCACCCTCTGGAACCCCATCCCGCAATCCCTCCGCCTCACCCCTTTCCTTGCCACCTTCAAGACCCATCTCAAGACCTTCCTCTTCAACCATGCTTTCAATCTTCCTCCTTCCTCCCCCTGCCCTCCACGGGTCCAAAACTCTGCCTGTCCAGCGCTTTGGGACGTCCTCCCGAAGTGAAAGGCGCTAAACAAATGTAATTTTTGTTGTTTTATCTATGCGGGGCTGTTTTTCCAACAAAGATAAGTAACCAGAATGACACGAGTGCTTATGCTGTATGAGTGACAATCCAATCTCCATCAATCCAGACCTGCAGCATCCACAATTCATACTGCAGTACAAATGACTTTGTGACCTTTATCCCCAACAATTGGATCCGGCTTTCAATCAACTGTCTTTTAATTCCCTTGTCTGGTGACTGCTGGGTTCCCTTCAAGAACCCTGGAGGGAATGGCGAGCCAACCATTCAACTTCAAAGCATAACTGAGTTTGCAAAAACCATCTCCTGCTGGGTTATGAATTTCAAGTTTTACTTTACCACTGTTCTTCTGAAGGATATGTCAAAGAGGTTAGTAATCCAGCTCACTGTAGCTGTTTTGTGATAATTTAGTCAAAGACTTCATACTGATAAACATGACCCAAGCTCCTCTTTTAGGAGCATGGAAAAATAAGAAGGCGCCATTCAGCCCATTTGATTTGGGCAGATCTTTTAACCTCGATGCCCTGTCTTTTTGTCATGCCCCCTTTACCTCCCCCAATTTCCAAGTGTCTGTCCAGCTCTCTTTGAAACATACTTATGTGAAGCACTCCGGCCACACACAGTAGCAACATTCCCTTTTGTCAAATAGCTTGTTAACACTGCTAAGACTCAGTGGATGGCAACCATGGAACCCCTCTCTGGTACAAGGAAAGAGGAGGCAAATTCTCTGGGAAGGAGGGGATAATTTATCTGACTCTTCCTTAGACTGTTTGTTGCTAATTCATTGCTACTTGTCATGGCTCTGTGCTGGTACTTCATTTCATGAACTCATTCAGTGAAACAGTTAGTATTAAAGAAGATAATCTGGGAAAATAAAGATAGGCCACATTTGTAACTCATTTGTTGTGTGACATTGATAGTACTTGAATAAGCACACTTACCCTTCGAAATGATATCAGATAGAACGTATCCCCTCTCCTGCGAATGGTTTCAAAGAACTCTGAGAAGCGCCTGTCTGGAGCGTAATAAACCTGTAACTCATTCCCTGCAGTTCTGTGAAGGGAAGAAACCAAAATTGAGCTGATTAGTTTGACGTTACCTTACACTAAAGCCAAGATGTTGTAGAACAAATCTGCAGTGATTACAACGAAAATCTATAAACAAATTCAATATAATGCATGATACACCTACAACTTCATTCACAGAAATACATTGATTTGGCTGTTGATATCAAAGTATAAATTCAAGCCAGGGATTATTCCCACTCAGCTCCTTTTAACTCTGGAAGCCAAAGCCCTAACGGGTAGGGTGGTCCGAGCTGGAGAAGCATAGACAAGTGCTGATGAGGAAGAATATAAAGTATGAAATGAGGAAAGGCCATTCAGGCCACCAAGTATCCTTTCTGCACCACAAATGTGATAATAATAATCCTTGCATGTGATACGATGTCTTATCCCATCATTGAGACTTTTCAAAGCACAAGATATACTGTAAAGTGGAGTGACTGTTTTGTGGGCTACATGCAGCATCCAATTACACACAGTAATGTCCCACAAACAAGCATGGACTGAGTGACCAATTTTATTGGGGGGGGGGGGGGGGATTATTGGCCAGGATACCAGTTGAAACTGCCTTCTCTTTTTGAATAGTGCCATGGGATCTTTAACGTCCACCTGAACAGACAGACGGGACCTCGATTTAACGGTTCAACCAAAGGATGGAACTCCAGTGCGTGGGGGAAAAATGGCGATCGTGGGGCATTTAGGGTGGGAAGGGACATGAAGTAAGCTGGTGTTTACTCTGCAAAGGGAACAGTCTGTAGGTTGCAGAGGAAGGGTGGGTAGGGAGGTAGAATGCAATATGTAGAGGAATTTTTCCTGCTCCCCCTCCCCCCATTGCCTTTCAAACAATTCAGATTTTTTTTTCTATCAAATGCATTGAGCTGAGTTGCACTGCTTCCTCTTCAGTACCAGCAAAATCTTCAACTCTCAGAACTGGAACAAATGCCATTATCTCGCGTTATCAAGCGTTAGGGCCAAACATCAATCTCCAATTTAGGTCTGCTCCTATTCAATCTACCAGACATCTCGTAAATACCAATTATCAAAGGAAGTCTGTTATGATAGTCTGTGTGTACAGGACCAGAGACCAAATAAAAATAAAGTCTGTCAAAGAGTTCTCAGCGAAGATTTTAAACTTAGACTGTACTCAGAGTGAGAAATGTCAATACGTGGGAATGAACGATTCCCATTTCTACTTTGTGTTCTTTCAGATTAGTGTAACACAGGCATACAGGCATAAGCAGATTAATGATCCCTATTCTCTAAACTCAGAACACCCGACTATCAGTGAAAATTTGCTCTTTTCCCAGCCAATTTGTGCTCCGTGCCCTCATTTCCCACATGTATTTTACCTGTAGCCATTTTTTGCTGATGGAGAGGAAGCTGATATTCCATCAATTCAGGCTGAATTCAAAGTCCCAGGAATGGTATGCTGATTTTTTGCAGACTGTTAATTTGCAACCAGTTGCCATGTGATTTTTTTTAAAAACAATAAAAGCTTACATTTTCTCCAAGAATATTCAAGGTTACATCCACTGTAAGAGCTGAGGCCAATTATGGAGACTTACAATATTTTAGGCAAAGCAATTTTCCAGCAAATAATATTTCAAAATCCAAGATACTTACGTCTTATCAGTGTCCGGGTACTGCATTGGAACATACTGGGCTACATCAGTCTTCTTTTGGGGAAACTTCTGCATGGAAGTAAAAACAGTTACATTAGAAACTACTTATTTATATGTAAATAAGGGAACGTAAACATAGAATTAATGACCAGGAACTATACATCAATATTTGTATTTTAAATAGTGTCATATTTAAATGCATCGCCACTATTAATTATTTTGAAGTTTAGTGATTGTTGTATTGCCAAATGTGGCAGCTGCTCAGTGTCTAATATAGCAATGAATAAAATAATTTATGTGAATTTGGATGAGAGCATAATACTGTTTATGCAAATTGTCTGCCACATTCACCTACAAATGCAGTCCTCATACTTTATAGTAAAATCATTGAGACACTTATGACATAATAAGGCATCATATTGAATCATAAGCATTTTTTATATTTGTATGTGAAATGCTTTGTTAGCCAAGAATACTTCTGGCAGAGTTAGCCAAGGTGACTGGATTTTAAAGTAGTACTATTTGAAGGGGGTCAGGAACCTCGGCGTTTTGTTCGACCCTGAGCTGTCCTTTCTCCCTCACATCCGCACCACAACTGGCACTGCCTTCCATCACCTCCGGAACATCGCCAGACTACGGCACTACCTCACCCCTCACGCTGCTGAAACCCTGGTTCACGCCTTTGTCACCTCAAGGCTGGACTATGGGAACTCTCTCCTCGCCGGCCTTCCCGCCACCTCCCTCCACACTGCAGGTCATTCAGAACTCTGCAGCTCGTGTACTGTCCCGCACCAGGCTTCGCGACCACATCACTCCCACCCTCGCTCAACTCCACTGCTCCCCATCCCCCAGAGGATTATTTCAAGATCCTCATCCTCACCTACAAGGCCATTCACGGCCTCGCTCCCTCCTACCTCTCCGACCTACTATCCCCCTACCTACCTGCCCGTACCCTCCGGCTCCGGTCTGCTCCACGTCCCCCGCCCCAATCGCCCTACCATCGGTGGTCGGGCCTTCAGCCTCTCAGCCCCGAGGCTCTGGAACTCTATCCCCCAGTGCCTTCCCCACCTCCTCCCTTTCCTCCTTCAAGGCCGGTCTCAAAACCTTTCTCTTTGACCGAGCCTTCAGCTCCCCTCTCGACTCTCTTCCCCCTCCTCGCCTCCCCTCACCCTGACCATTTCCCCCCTCCTCGCTCCCTCCTTTCCTCCCCTCACCCTGACCATTTCCCCCCTCCTCGCTCCCTCCTTTCCCTCCCCTCACCCTGACCATTTCCCCCCTGCTCGGGTCATGACCCAACTGTGCAGCGCCTTGGGACGTCCTCCTGACGTGAAAGGCGCTCAATAAATGGAATCTTGTTGTTGTTGTTGTCATGTATGTGTGTTGGTGGCAGCAAGTGGTGGTGTCATGAAAATATTTAAGTTATTATAGAATACAGTTTAATAGCATGAACAAACTGAATCTTACGTATTTCCCTAACAAACAATTACTTGCCAGTTCTGTGAAGAAGTTAGTTGGTTAGATCAGTTAGGGGACTGAATTTTTCTGGTATTTCCATACAAATCTGTTTTCCATCGCTTTTTACCAGGATGATGTTAATTATGTTGAAACGTTAGTTATTACACAGATGTTATAGCATTTAAACCTGAATAAAGTTGAACTAAGTATTTTACTGTTGGAGGAGGAAGGAGCTCCTGATCAGTAGTTGTGTCAATCTCAAGATTGAAAAATACCACATCACTCATATTGTTTCTCACATACTTTAAGCACTTACTTTCAGCTCAACAGGCCAAAACCCCATTAATTACATGACAACTGCTACAATTGGATGAGCGCCAACTTTCTGCAGCTGAATGGTGACAATTTGGAAGCCATCCTCCTTGGCTCCCGTCAAGTCTTCTCACCTGCATCTCTGACCTTGTTAACTTCCCGGCCTATCCCTCAGACTCGCCGAACCCGTGCGTAACCTTGGGAGACCTATTCAATCCCCAGTTGTCCTGACTCCATATTTTGCCCCTGAACAGGACGACTTTCCTCCACGACATTGCCCACCTTCGACCATACTTAACACCCACAACCCTCACCCACACTTTTGACACCCCTCTCCTCAATTTCTCTAATGCACTCAAAGCCAGTATCCCCAGCTCCACCATTCAAAACTCCACAGCCCGTACTCTCACTAATTCTGCACTCCCTTTACCCCAGGCTTTGCCAAGGACCATTGCCTCCCTATTGCAGATTGGATTGATTTCAAAATCTTCACTCACCCACATGCCCTAACACCTTCCAACTCTCCAGCCTGCTCACATCCACTTCTCGACTCGCCCCCTTCACTTACCTGGATCCAGTCTTCTGCACATCCTTCAGCCATTCTGAGCCAAATCTCTGGTAATCCCTGCCTCAATCCATCTGCCTTACCCCCTTTTTGCCCATCTTCAGATTGTACCTGAAAATTTTCCTCTTTAACCGTGCCTATAGTCCCCTCTCCTTCCTCCCGGCTCACGTTAAACCATGCCACAGGAAAGAGCTCCAAGATGCTACCATACGTTAAAGGAGTGATATAAATGTAAGTTGTACATTATAAATTCTGATACAGTGAGCTCTGTATGGATTCAAACATTGATTATTAAACTGTAGCACCCCAGTTTAATATCTTATCTTAAAAACGGTAACTCAGACAAACCAGCAATCTCGCAGAACTGTGTTCGAGTATCAGCCTAATGATAACTTCAACAAGTGATATGAAACTTGAAACCACAAGCATTTTACCCAGAGGCAAAATGCTATCTATTGAGACAAGCTGATGTAGGTTTGCAACCTCAATTTCTCACAGAGCAATTCCCTAGCTGAGTTAGGCATTGCTAGGTTTCGTTGGGTAGACAAAAAAAAATACAAGGGCAAGTCAGATATTCTTACATTCTGTTCCCAAGAAACTGTCAGAAGGCTACAAATAGGAGCCTGTCTGTCCTCTTAGTCAGAAAGAATCAGACCGTCTCATAAAGAAAACAAGACAAAGAATTAATATAATTAATTTTAACCCACATCCCTTAATTTTACTATAATATTGCTTGTCCAAAACCACTACCAATCTGGTATACAATCAGGTACTGGAAAACTGTGAGGTTTGTGTGGAAGGAAAAGGAAGCTGGGCAAAGTTTTTCCCTTTGGGAAAGTCCTGAACCGTCATTTGACATCAACAATTTAGCTAAGTTCAAGAACTCATCATACAGGAATTATGAACAACCTAGTTTTCCAAAAATAATTCTTGAAATAGAGCTGCAGTGACCCACAGTTATCACACACATTACAATTCCCCAATGTATAGATGAGGTCAAGTTATCTCTTTTGCGCATCAGTTTCAGTTTGTTTTTTGTCAGTGAATCAGTAATATGGGTTATACACTTAATAGTCTATTTCCTTTGGCTCTCCATGACTGCAGATAAATGACAGGAGCCAGGGAATAGAAATGAAATAAGTAGCACGAATACATGACACGTAACATTCTGAACTCAATCTCGATGTACTCAGCTGCAGAAACAAATTCCCGAAAAATAAATGACATCAAGGACATTTTCATCAGTTGATAGATTTAGCTCCAACATATTTGAGGAGACTTAAGGGATTACCAGTCAGATATTGAAACATAAAAGTGAACATGATAGTTTGGCTGTTCATTTTCTAAATGGATTGCTCTCCATCACTCATATTCCGACTGCATGTTGAATACAAAGGAGGAAATAATACAGATAATATACCTTTACCTCTTTACCAGTTGCCTTTTTTTGCCCTTGAATAAGATATATTAACTCTATAAGTATGCTTGGTATATCCTTATGGTACCATTTATAAGATTTATTTTGAAATTCCTTCCAAACAAAAACATCACAAAATGCTCAAGATTGTAAAATCTGGGTATTTTAAACACTTACACTTCAGGCTGGTTGAAGGACAAAACAAACATTCCAGTCCATCAAAACGATCAGTTGGTAAATATCATAAATTTGTAACTTTCGTTTTCTACAATCTTACAACAGGTTAACGTTTAATGGTATGTTATTGCTCTTCTAACATATATTTAGAACAATGAGGTTAGTTAAGGACTAAATAATGAATGGAATCCAGTCTACACTTTCATGTGGGAATCATCATGGTTTATATAGACAAGGTTCACAACACCAATTTTTATTTCATTGAACACATGGGTTTACTTTTAGTTGTGGTGGGGAATAATTATTCCTCACTGCATTTGGCTGAAACTTATCAATGATATAAATGTAGTTAACAGAGCCTGAAGGTCAAATTATTCCCACACTTATAAAAGTGAACTTTTAAAATATTATTTCAATTAGATCAGACATGATGAATCAAATGAACTCTTTCCATGCTGAAAAATGAAAAATCTTCTAAGAGATCAAAATGTTGGTGAAAGAGGCAACACTTTAATGGCTTGGGGGGAAAAAAACTACTTCTATTCTTGATTTTGAAGGTAGATTTTAAATGAAAAAATCCACACTCGTGAATCAAGAAAATAAACTATTTATCCAAGACTTAAAAGACTTGATAGGCTTAGCCTTACAATGAGGAAAAAATACAAATGTTGCTGTTTGAGGGACATTGCCTAGAGCAAAACTGGCTGCCACATTTATCTTCAAAATCAGTCATTATACTTTATAGTGAATCCTGTGAAATGCTTTGAGACTTCTTCTGACATAAAATGCACCATATCAATGTAAGGATTATTCATATTATTATTATACAAATATGTTTTTAACAATGTTTTAGAATCAACATCTTATTCTAATAATTGTTCAGAGAAAATGCACCCTTTTCAGCATTCAAAGAGCACTTTTGTTTATGATAAGCTATTTGTAGTTCAGCTTCGGCCTGTTTTTAATAAAATAAGTTTCCCTTCACCACACAATGCACCATTTCTCAGCCAACAGAACAAATACAAGTACAGTATATTGAATGAAAGTGACTTTCTTCCCAGATGTCCTCCATGTGTTTCCTTTTATACCAGATCTAACAGACTAAGCTAGGAATCTACATATGAAGGGCTCCTTCGTGAAACC